ATGCGAAGCGGCGCGAGACAGCAAGCGATGGGAGCGATGGGCGATGGAAAAGAGGAACTGGACTGGACGCTGGGATGGCTCTCGAGCCTCGAGTGGGAGTTCAGGTATCGGCAAGGTCGTCAGGTCGTCAGGTCGTCGTTGGTCAGGTCGCAGGAGGTCGCAGGAGGCCGTCAGGCATGGACAGGCTTAGGCTGAGGTATCAGGATTGGGAGAGGCATGAGGCCATCAGGAGGGGCAAGGAGGCCATGTTCTGATGCATCGGTCGGGCAGTGAGGGGGGCAGGATGGGTCCTGGCTTGATGATGACCCTGAGGGGGGGTTGGACGACGACAATGCTGAAACCGGGCGGCGTGCGTGCGTTTGGGTCTCTCCTCGTCTGGCTGCGACTGGCTCATGTCTGTCGCGGTGGCCGACGATACTCTTTGTCGCCTCGTCGCTTGGAAGTCATCAAAGGGTCTTGTCGATGGCTCGTGCGGGGTTGAACCCTGTAGGGAATGCGAGCACAGGGAAAGTCTCGAGAGAGAGAGAGAGAGAGAGAGAGCTCGCGAGGACATTGGGACATTGCAACATTCAACACTCAAAGGAACGCACAAGACACAGGCACGGCTACTTTTTCCACAGGGTGGGGCCATACTTTTTTTCTTTCTGGTGGTGGATGGTGGGGTCGATCGTTAACCTGGCAAAGCCGAAAGAATTATCTTCTCCCCTCGTGCCGGGTTGCCGGCCAGGTGCCGTTCCAATCACCAGCGCTTACACACAAACAGGATAAAGGAAGGCCTGCCCCCATGGCTCATGGCCTATGGCCGCAGGGCAACAGCGGCAACCATACGGTGTGGATAGCCACGCCTGCGACAGGTTGTACAGTCACCCCTCCCTCCCTCTCCCTTGCAGCGTCGCACTTCAGAAGGTCTGAGCTAGGCGCGAGCGAGAGGAAAGATGGGGGAATGAGATGCCCGCTTCTGTTTTGGGACATTGAGTAGGAGCGGGCATCGCACAGAGTCACAAGAGTCGGGCAGCGGTTCAAGCTCTCATACACAAGTGCACGGTGGCCGATTCATAGTTTCACAGTTGCAAGACATTCATAAGATTTCACCAGATTCATCAGATCATTTCATAGAGCTATGGGCTCTAGGCTCTCTGGGTTAAACGAGGTTGGTTGGAGGTTGGGGGATGCGAGAACGGTCTGCGCACGGAGCAGACAAGCACGCCTGCACGCTCCGGGAACGGCGCACCGGCTGATGCGAGGGGGACAGGGATGGAGTGCACGGAGCGACGCGAGACGCCGAGCCGTGAGGCCGTGGGAGTTGGGGGGAGGGAGGGCCCGGAGGGCGCCGCCGCCACTCCGTTGATCGCCCTGGCCTCCCGGCCGGTGATGGTTGGTGGCCCGAGGGAGGGGCAGAGGAGCAGAAGAGGGGAGAGGGTGAGGCGTGAGTATGAGTGGTCAGCAAGGCTCGCGATGCCCGGTGGCCCGGCGCCACCAGCGCGCCGTGCACCGTGCGCCGTGCATGGTACAGTGCGCCTGGGCGACGCTGCGAGCGAGGCGGCGCCGGCCCTACTGATGTGCAGGGTGGTGGTCCGTGTCCTCCTCCTCGGCCTGCAGGCGCCAGCACCCACTGGCCCACTCACCGGTGGGCGGCCGGGCCATCGGACCTACGCCGGGGTGCCGGGGTGTGTCAGATGCCCGCCGGTCGCAGGCTACGAGTTGCAGAGCGCCAGACGACTGAGCGACAGAAACGACAGACCCAAGCGCGACCTGAGCTGTGAGGGCCTGAGGGAAGGGGAGGCATAAAGCATGGAGGACCGCCATGCTCTGAAATCCTCAGGGGCGCTTGAAATTGCCCTCAGGGCTGCTCTCTCGCTTCATTTGCTCGACCTTTAGCAAACGACGCGCGTACGTCGCAGCCCAGAGGTCAAGTAATGAATAATGAAAGCACTTTGAGCCGCGAGCCGTTGTTCTGCTCACATTTCAGAATTCACAGAAGGAAACGTGATCACAACGATAACGGCACAAGGACCGTCCGGCCGTTCGGCACATGCGGCACGGATTAAGCTTTGGCTTGAAATGTCCTGGTAGCGTGCACTTTATCGTTTGGCCAGACCCCGGTGGAACTGCAGCTGGAATGCGTACAGGAGCATGCATGGACCCACGGAGCCCAGGGATGCTCGCGTGTAACGTGTTCTGTGAAGCGGGAGAACGTGCTGGGAGATGAGGAGGGGAGTACGGAGCATGGAAAAGAAACGCAAGACAGATGACCGGGCAACGTAAGGTAAAGCCAACAGCTCGTCAGGCGCGATCGGTGCCCTTTTGGAAACCCTTCGAGCCCTTGCTGCCCACTGCGCACGAACCGTCCGAGAAGTGGGTCACAGATGGTCCGTGCAAGTGGCGCCCCGTGGTGCATTCGATTCGCTGAGGGGGCAGAACCTGGGTCCGTGGCATGTTCCTTTCTGTCTCTCGGGCTCGAGCTACCTGGCTGAACGTTCCAGTCACGAGAAAGAGTCGAGAGTCCGTGGGCCCGTCGTCCGGCTCCGAACCTGCCATGCCCTCCTGCGAGCCTGCGAGCCTGCAGGTGCCCAGTGACTCAGAGGCCCAGAATAGAGGAGACGCAGGGGTGGAGCAAAATGGACCGACACACTGATCGCTGCTGCGTCTTGCTGATGTGTGCTGAGGGTAGGATTCGGGCCGGAGGATAAGGAGGCGCTGGCACAGGGGATGGGCCATCAAGGGGTGAGCAACGCCAGCTCACTTCCCCTACGCCGGGACCCATGTACTAAGACTGTAGTACGCAGGAGATGCAGCTGCAGCGATCACCACGGCATTGCCGCGCTAGCCGTGCTCTCCCTCCTCCTCCCTCCTCCTCACCAGCGCGACATAGGGAGGATAACCAAACCGACACATCCGCGGACAATGACTGACCAGGGACGATGGGAAACGGACCAAGGAATGTGGCCATGTTGCGGCGCACTGGCGACGCACTGGTACTATCTTCCCAGGACTTTGGTAGAAGGGCAGGTAGAGGCTGGTGACAGGGGAAGAGGGGATGAGGGCGACAGTTTCGTCCCGGACACTGGCCGTCGATAGTTCCTATGGAAGCAAGATGCTGAGCAAGCAAGATCTGCTGACGGACGAGATCAGCGTCGCTGATGCCCGACGAGGTGGGCACGAGCGAGCCCAAGCTTGTGGGGATGGTGTATTAATAACGATCTGTTGCTTGGCCTTGAGTTTGACGGGAGGTTCCCTGTTGGCGGGGGACATCGTCGGGGTGTTGATGACTGCAAGCTGTTCTGGGCTTCACTCATTGACTGGACTGAGTGGTAAGCGAGGCTCCTCATGTGGTGGCATTGAGGCAGAGGAATGCGGCACAGAAGTCAGTCACAAGCGGTGCTCCGCGTTGGCCACGGGTTGATACGAGATTGTGGTGACAGCAAGGCGATGGGGCAGCCCGACAGAGAAGGAATGCTAGTCTAGTTGAGACATAGCCGGCGGTGCTCCGCGGAATGCCTCGTGTTTATGATCCGGTGTGGACTTAAGAAGCGTCCAGGTGTGACTTAAAAGCCCAGACGCAGGATAGGGATGGATGAACTTCGGAGCTAAGCTGATCACGATGGTGTCCAGTGCCGCCGATGCCGCTGGATGCGGAGAGCCGACGAAGGTGCGGTGCCTAGTCGCATTCTGTTGTGACGGCCGACGTCGGCGAGACGTTCTATGGGTCGGGCACCCGCCAGCAGCGGATGGAACATGCCTTCTTGAGTCACGATAGCTCGGACCGAGGGTGTGTATTGCCGGGGACTTGTGCTCGGCGAGCTCGGCACTTTGTTAATTCCACCGAGCCTTCCATCCTCTACTTTGCCGCAACTGTCCTGCGGCACATGCATGCTTGGCGGGGAGGCGGCGGCAATCTTCATGGCTCATGGGGAACACGTGTCAGTTGCACTCGATGCGGAACGGTTATCAGATCAAGACAAGGAGGGCCGAGGGAAGGATCGGGTAAGCGTATGGGTTCGGAATGATATGGTGATTAGGTGATCATTCACCAGCGAGTAAGTGGACGCCTCGGCCCCGGCACCGGCGACATCCGCTGGCATCTGATGACCGACTTGTCCCAGCGGACCAAGGGGTCCGCTTGCTATCGTGCACGTCGCCACCGCACAGAAGCTGGTATCAGCTCACATGATGCATGAACTGCGAGCTCAAAGAGTCAGCCATGAACGCCAAACACCGCAGGCCAATGCATTGCGGACATGGCCACCGCTGTGCATCTGTGCGACTCGTCATGACAGTGTGTGTCCAGTGGGAGGTTCGGCTGTGGGCGGTTGACAGCCGTTGCTAAGCGGGGGAAGTATGACAAAGGCAGGGGCCGGCAGGGAGTGATTACAAAGACGCCTAATAGCTCGGCGGGCTCGGCGACTTGAACCTCATTAGGTCGTTAGAAGCTATTTGTAATCTGGGGCTAGACCATCCTGCAGGAGTTGTCTGGCTGGGCGCTGACGTCTGCCGACTGCCAATGACATTATCAAGTTCCCACCACCGTCGCTCAGAGTATCATCAACAGCTAGCCAGCTGATTCCTCATCGGCCGACACCCACAGCAGTCAGCTCATCGAGCGAGCCATCTTGCCATCACTTGCCTCCCGGTCGCTATATACCACCTCGCGTGCACTGTCGACTCGAGTTCTGCCTCAGTCCCCGGATCAATAAAGACTGATTGCATCGACGGGCTCACTACCCAATCCTCGGTTATCTACGCAGGTACGTCACTTTCCCCATAGGCGGTGGTCTCCCCTTGACAGCACATTTTCAGCCTCTGACCCTGGACTCCCATTCGACCGTTCCGCTGCCCGCCGCGTTGCCGCTTCCAACGGCGTCATACCCCCGCTTGCTAGAGCTTGCTCTAGCCTGGCCTACTGCCGACACCCTGCCTGCCTGCATACACCATCCATCCCATTCCAACCACCACTCCTCTTGTCTCTTCCATCTACTCACACCACGCAGTAGACACACACCATGTCATCGCCTCCCAGAGACTCTGAGCGCCTCCGCCGCAAGCGCGGCTCCATCCCCTCCATGGAGGCCCTCGGCGACGACTCGCTCAAGGACCAGTCCCTCTCCATCGTCGTCGTCGGTGCCTCTGGTGACCTCGCCTCCAAGAAGACCTTCCCCGCCCTCTTCGGTCTCTTCCGCCGCGACCTCCTCCCCAAGGACGTCGCCATCATCGGCTACGCCCGTACCGACATGGACGACGAAAAGTTCCACAAGAAGGCTCTCGCGCACATTGACACCAAGAAGTACCCCGAAGAGTCCAAGAAGTTCACCAAGATTCTCTCCTACATCCACGGCCCCTACGACAAGGACGAGGGCTACCAGAAGCTCGAGGCGCACATTGACGAGATTGAGAACAAGCGCCCCGACAACGAGCCTCGCAACCGTCTCTTCTACCTCGCCGTCCCTCCCACCGTCTTTGCGGATGCCGCTGCTGGCCTGAAGCGCAACTGCTACTGGAGGAAGGGAAGGAACCGCATCATCATCGAGAAGCCCTTCGGAAAGGACCTCGAGACCTGCCGCGAGCTCCTCTCGTCCCTCAAGGGCGAGTGGTCCGAGGACGAGACGTACCGTATCGACCACTACCTCGGCAAGGAGATGGTCAAGAACCTTCTCGTGCTCCGCTTCGGTAACATTGTCCTCGACGCTACTCTTAACAAGAACAATGTTTCCAACGTCCAGATCACCTTCAAGGAGTCGTTCGGAACTGAGGGCCGTGGTGGCTACTTTGACGAGTTCGGTATCATCCGTGACGTCTGCCAGAACCGTGAGTAACCGTCGCACAGCACGGATCGTCGGCGAGTGACTGACCCCGAACCAGACCTGCTCCAGACCCTCTCGGTCCTGGCCATGGAGCGCCCCGTGTCCTTCGCCGCCGAGGACATCCGTGACGAGAAGGTCAAGGTTCTCCGTTGCATCCCGCCCATCAAGGCCGAGGACTGCCTGCTCGGCCAGTACGTTGCTGCCGACGGCAAGCCCGGCTACAAGGACGACGACACTGTCCCCGACGACTCGAACACCCCGACCTACGCTGGTCTCGCCCTCTTCATCAACAACCCCCGTTGGGAGGGTGTCCCCTTCATCATGAAGGCCGGCAAGGCGCTGAACGAGTCCAAGGTCGAGATCCGTGTCCAGTTCAAGGACGTCACCAGCGGTATCTTCACCGACATTGCGCGCAACGAGCTCGTCATGCGCATCCAGCCCGACGAGGTCATCTACATGAAGCTCAACTCGAAGCTGCCCGGTTTCGAGACCAAGGCGATCCCCGTCGAGCTCAACCTGACGTACAAGGACCGCTTCACGGATGTTGACATCCCCACGGCGTACGAGGCGCTCATCCACGATGCGATCAAGGGCGACCGCTCCAACTTCGTCCGTGACGACGAGCTCGACGTTGCGTGGAAGATCTTCACCCCGCTCCTGCACTGGATCGACGGCAAGGGCCCCGGCCCCAAGCCCCAGCCCGAGGCGTACCCCTACGGCGCGCGCGGACCTAAGGATTCCGCCGCGTTCTCGGCCAAGTACGGCTACAAGCGCCCCGACGACGACTACACCTGGCCGACCACGAGCGTGCAGGCCAACCTCTAGACGAATCAGAAGCAGTCGGTCTCTCCGGCGAGATAGTTACTGCCGGAGGTGTAAACATCCACCCCAAAATTGAAACCCCAAAATTGAAACGGTTATGTATCTGGTGTAAGCGTAAGCGTTTGCGTTATAAGAGTTCAGGCGTGATCAGCAGACCAGCAGGAATGGGAGTGGGACGGGCGATGAGACCAGTAAGCATCTGCCCTCTTCCTCTACCGTACTTTATGATATCAGTTCAAAGCAGCGTAGAGGGCATCAGTGGCAGATGGGTCAGTTGTGGGTCCCCGCCCATCAGAAGGGGAGTGCAAGGAACGGCGCGACGATATATGAGCGCCGTACGTGGGATGCGCATGTAGATGACGACGAGGTCGTGTGGGTCGCGGCGCAGGTACGCAGCGTCCAACGGATGGTCCCAGAGCTGCAGTTGGACGATAGTAGGTGAGACAAGTCTTCTGCTACAGTGAAGGCTGGCAATGTGCGGAGGTCAGAGCGGGGTGTGGGAGGGTATGTGCGCAGAGCATGGAGAGCAAGCCCGACTGCAGAACGAACAGACGGTGAACAGAAGGTGAGCCAACGAGTGAGGCGGTGAGACTGCCCAGGATATAGCGATAGCGAGGATGGCGGCGTCGGATGCCTGATAGCGGTGTAGATCGTTGCTCCGCGAATAGCCCTTCTCGTGCTCGAAAATCAATCAGCGGTGCACCGCCTGCGGCATCTTTCGTCTCCTATTTTCGTTCTCCCCAATCTCCATGTGGCCGTGATTCGTGACTTGTGCCGTAACAGCTGGGAGGAGCTGGAACGATGAGCATTCAGACGGGCAGAAGCGGGAGTCGATGGGGAGCGGTTGGTCCGCTGGATCCGCCGGATCCGCCGAGCCTCGTCGGCGCGTCGGCGCCAGGTGACTATGCAAGTGTTGGCAGCATGAAACGTTTCATGGCACCCAAGGGGGATGCGAAAGCTTATTCTCCGAGCTGGTATGTCCCACTGATTCCACATCCCCCAATGTACATGGTGGTGGTGTCGACGCGTTCACTCGTCCCATGGTCACAAGGCGCAAGACGCGCACTACCCGGCGGCACATTCAAGAGTATATGAGGCGGACGGCTGTCGTGCGTGTGATGTTACCACGTTTGTTGCTAGATGCTAGAATGCGCCACTGCAATGCACAATACATTGTGCTCCACCGTTGGGCTCTATTCACACACTATGGAGAAGATTTGCATGCATAGCAAGCTCGAGATCCGCAGGAGAATGGTGGGTCGATTATAGCCATGGACGCCGCTCAAGAGGCAACGAGGCACAAAGATTTGGCACCGCCTAGGCCCCCAGTGCCCAGAACCTGCAGAGCCGGGCCCTGATGACCGGTGCTTCATTCCACCTCACCACCTCTTCACCATTCCTTGCAGTCCTCTCAACTGACCCCCACTCGCCATCCCCTCCTCTTCTCCCTCTCACTCTCTTCCTACGACTCCAGTGCACCCGGACACTCGACGACACTCGGCCTCCCACTCTCATCATCCCATACCCCATACCCCCTTGCTCATTACCCCCAAACGGACACTTTACTTGCATCCTCTTCTTCTTACTTCCCCGCCGCCCACTCGACGCACCCGACCATGTCATCCGCGCCGATCCGGCAACCGCGCGGCCCGCCGTCGTCTTCCTTCCCCGCTGGACCGCCCCAGGCTGACGCCGAAGCCCTCCTGCGCCGCAACAAGACGGTCGCGACCTCGAAGCACCAGGAACGCTTCCAGCCCCCGACCGCCAGCGTCGCCCGCACAGGCTCCCTCAGCGGCCCCCACAGGAGCTCCGGCTTCAACACCGGCGGCGCATTCACGTCCATGTCGCCCGGTCCCTCGCCCAGCCTGTCGAGCAGCCTCTCATCCTCCTCGGGCATGGGCGTCGGCAGCATCGGCAGCGGCATGGGCGGCATGGGTATGGGCGGCATGGGCATGAACGCCGCCGCGACGGGGATGAACATGGGCATGGACGGTCTCGTGCGCCGCGGCAGCGAGCGGTATCGCGCTGCCGCCGCCCCGAGCCAGGAAGAGACCCTCGTCGAAGCAGACGAGGGACAGCCCGACCGCGGCGGAACGTGGGGCAAGAGCGGCGGCCTCACCAGGCAATCCTCGCTCCCGAGCAGACGATGTAAGTGCGTCTCCTTGATCTTTCACCGCGGCTTTGGAAGAAGCTTGCTCTGCCGCCGAGTCAGTGTCGCCGAATCGATACTTTCACGCCGACTGGCAGCCCGCTGAGCGGTGTTCTAGCAGCCAGGGAGCTTTGCGCTGTGCATGCACCCAAAGCTGCAGGGCCGAAGCGAAGGTGGCTTGGCACACGCCTGAGTGGCGAAGGCGTCCTCTTTTCTGCACACTGGGCACACCGGGCACACTGGCACACTGGCACACACCGCGGTTGCGTTGGCGGCGAACGTCCCAGCGTCGTCAGCCGGGTGGCAACGCGACGCTTCTGTCGCAGCCATGCACACATTCTCCTGTTCTGTCGTTCTCCCGATTGTCGTGTGCGCATGCTGACTTTCGATCTTCTTGCCCGACTGGCTCTGTTCGTCGCACCACCTGCTACGCTTCTTGCCTCGCTCGCACGCTCGTCACCCCCACGCTGCGTCCAACGTGTGAAACATTCGCCGACCTGTCTCCCGACGGCTGCGAACAACTTTGTGTGCTGAACTGACCTAACCCCCGCCGATCATTCACGCCCGCAGTATCCATCAACCCTGGCTTATTCTCTCAGCCGGGCGACAAGCAGAACAATCTCCCGCCTCCGCCCCCGCGGCCTCCCCGCCGAGTGTACAACGACAGCAAGAACAGCGCTTCCCAGAACGACCAGCAGCGTGGCTCGCATGCCCCTTCGCATTCCATGTCGTCCCTCAGCGTTGTCGTGCCGCAGAACCAGTATGACGGAAGCAGCATCTCGCCCGTCCTTTCGACGCCTGGTTCCGCCGGACACGGAAACTACGCGGCGAGCGCCCAGCCGCAGAGCCAGGGCGGCGGTGTCTCGCGCACCCAGAGTCTCCGCATGCAGGCGACTGCGACGTCACCGATCGACTACAACAGCAACCTCGGCCGTAGCGCTTCCATGCGCACGCCAGGCGAGATGATCTACTCGCGCATGAGCCCGCCTCCGCCACCGCACCCCTTCAGCCTGGCGACGCCCCCGCGCGGACACCAGTCCAACCTGCCGGGCATGTACGGAGATGATGATATCGAGGAGCAGCGCCAGTCGGACCTGCGCCGGCACCAGAGCATGACGGAGTACGGATCGAGCTCGCGCGTGCAGCAGCGTCTCGAGCGCTCGCAGGCGCTCCTGTCGCTCGAGCAGCGCGAGGACCTGCGCCGCCAGATGGGCACATCGCCCGCCGCCGACTCCAAGTCGGGCACGCGCAGGCACTCTCGCCACCCGAGCGAGATGGGAGGAGACGACACGCCCGGTCTCGGGCGGAGTGTGTGGACGCCGGGAGCTACCGGCGAGCAGTGGCCGAGTGCTGGAACTGCCGGCGCGCAGCAGCTGCAGGACGCCCTCGACGCGCTGTCGCTTCGGGACCCGCAGCCCCACGACGAGCCGTCCTGGGTCACCAATTTGGTCGGCATGCCGGGCCAGCCGTCGCCGCAGCCGACGGGTGGACGCCAGCTGTGGGACGACCGGTCGTACGCGGCGGCCTACGGTGGTCTCGCCGCGCAGAACATGCAGCCGCCCCTGTCGCTCTACCAGCAGCAGCAGGCGTACGGCCAGCAGCTCAAGCTCGGCGTTCCTGGTGCTGGTGGCATCCCTCAGATGCCGGTGCTGCCGATGCAGTACAACTACCTGCCATACGCCCAGTACCAGCAGCCCGCTGCCCCGCAGCTCAGTGAGCAGGATCTTGACGTGATCGAGCTCGCGCGCAGCAAGGGCCTGAACCCGGCGACGTTCGACTGCCACCCGCCGTATGCGCGTTTCTTCGTGATCAAGAGCTACACGGAGGACGACGTGCAAAAGTCCCTGAAGCACGAGATCTGGTCATCGACCGTGCTGGGCAATAAGAGGCTCGACGCGGCGTACCGCGAGTCGCACGAGCGCGGGCCGATCTACCTCTTCTTCAGCGTGAACGGGTCGCGGCACTTCTGCGGTGTGGCCGAGATGATCTCGCCCGTGGACGAGACGGCGACCTCGAACGTCTGGGCGCAGGACAAGTGGAAGGGGCTCTTCAACGTGCGCTGGCGCATGGTCAGCGACGTGCCGACGAGCGCGCTGCGCCACCTCCGCCTGACGAACACGCAAGACCAGAAACCCATCACGCAGTCGCGTGACTCGACGGAACTGCCGTACGATGTTGGATGCGCGGTTCTCCAGATCTTCCTCGACCACCAGCACAAGAGCAAGACGTCGCTGCTTCAGGACTTTGCGTACTATGAGCGTCTGAGCCAGACGCGCGACGCGACCCCCGGCGCCGCCTCGCCTGCCCATACCGCGCCCCACACGCCGCACCAGCACGCCCACGTCGGCATGCACCCGACCCCGCCGCCGTTCAATCATCCCATACCCCATACCCC